GAAGAGAAGAGAAGAGAAGAGAAGAGAAGAGAAGAGAAGAGAAGAGAGAATGGACTGGACTGGACTGGACTGGACTGGACCAGACTAGACTAGGGAAGAGAAAAGAAGAGAGAATGGACTGGACTGGACTGGACTGGACTGGACTGGACTGAACTGGACTGGACTAGACTAGACTAGAGTAGAATAGAGTAGAATAGGAGCAGAGCAGAGTAGAGCAGAGCAGATTAGAAGTGGAAGGGACCTTGGAGGTCTTCTAGTCCAGCCCCCTGCTCAAGCAGGAGAACCCATGCCAATGACTGTCAAGTGACTGTGACTGTCTAATCTCTTCTTAGAAACTTGTCATTAGACAAGTGACTGTCTAATCTCTTCTTAGAAACCTCCAGTGATGGAGTGCCCACAATTTTTATAAGTTTTAGCCAAGTCAAAATGAGGAATCAAGGTAATCTGAGAAGAGTCAGGAGATCTGACACCATGCAAGGACCTCAAAGGTAACCCAACTCCCATCATCCCAAATAGTCAGAAGTTGAAAGGTACTCCAGCCCAATGGAACTGCTCAAAGGCCATCTGAGAAGAAGCTAGAATTATGTATTTTCCCCAGCCTTCCACACTCACCACAATAGGCCAAGGGATCATGTAGAATTTCAACTGAAGCTGAAACAGATACATCACAAAAATAATGACCGTCACCATCCAGAAGAAGATAGCTACGAACATCACCCAGCCGTAGGAAGGGTAGGGTTGGTAGTACGTGTCGGCAATCAGGGCCCACACCAAGCAGCCCAGCACCTGTGCAAAACACAAGAAGAAGAAGAAGGTCACACACACCCTGGGATCTGATCACTATCATCTTTAGTCTATATGCATTAGTGTCGTATAATATATGTAGGTATATACATAATTTTAGTTATCTTGTCATGTTTATGGACTGTAAAATTGGAGGTGGTGACCCTTTAAGAGCTGTATGCAACGAAATTTCATTTTTAATGTATGCCAATTAGTGTATATTCAAAGTGACAATAAAGTTATTCTGTTCTATTCTATTCTATTCTATTCTATTCTATTCTATTCTATTCTATTCTATTCTATTCTATTCTATTCTATTCTATTCTTGTCCTGTCCTGTCCTGTCCTGTCCTGTCCTGTCCTGTCCTGTCCTGGTCTGGTCCGGTCCGGTCCGGTCCACTCCAGTCCACTCCAGTCCAGTCCTGTCCTGTCCTGTCCAGTCCTTGATCCTGTTCCTGTTCCTGTTCCTGTTCCTGTTCCTGTTCCTGTTCCTGTTCCTGTCCTGTCCTATTCCTACTCCTACTCCTACTGCTGTCCTGTCCTAGTCCTGTCCTGTCCTGTCCTGTCCTATCCTATCCTATCCTACTCTATTCCACTCTATTCCTGTTCTCTTTCTCTTTCTCTTTCTCTTTCTCTTTCTCTCTTTCTCTTTCTCTCTCTCCCTCTTCCTATCCTATCCTATCCTATCCTATCCTATCCTATCCTATCCTATCCTATCCTATCCTATCCTATCCTATCCTATCCTATTCTACAGTCTATCCTATCCTATCCTATCCTATCCTATCCTATCCTATCCTATCCTATCCTATCCTTTCTCTATTCCAATCTAGTCTAGCCTACTCTTTCCCCTAATTGAAGAATGGATGGTAAAGGTGGTGGAATTGAGGGAGATGGCAATTCTAACTGTTTTATTAAAGAAAAGAGTCTATCTATTCTTATTTCTAATTGAAAACCACTTGTAGGCTTTGTATTCAACACTGGGAAAAAAATGAAACTTTTCAGCAATTGCCAAGACTAGGCATGTCTAGCCTAAGGAAGAGAAGGACTAGGGGTGACATGATAGCAGTCTTCCAATATTTGAGGGGCTGCCACAGAGAAGAGAGTGTCAACCTCTTCTCCAAACCACTTGAAATTACGGATGGAAGCTTATCAAAGAGAGATGCAACCTGGAAGTAAAATTTCCTGACTGTGAGAACAACTAAGCAATGGAACAGCTTGCTTTTTAGAAGTTGTGGGTGCTGCATCACTGAAGGTTTTCAAGAAAGGTGTCAACCATCCCACTCAGTCATCTAGCAAAGAAAGACCCCTGGCCATTTGTTTTTGCCAAGAGCGCACACTTTACTGAAGTTTAAGAGATTACAGAAGTAGCAAAGCCGAATCTGAAGTTTTCCTGCACAAACAATGCAAAGTAAATCTCCCTCCCCCCCCCACCATCCCGCGGTTATCTGTAAAGTGTAAGGATTGCCTCTCCCTCTAACTTAAGAAAGCGAAGACTCTTGAAATGGAGTATTTCAAAAGGAACCTTTTATTAAGCAGAAGTGACAGCAATGGGTTCAAAGCAACATCTGAATACCCTTAGGCAAAACAAGTAGGATTAAAGCAGTAGAGACCCCTCCCTTAAGCCGGAATGCAGATTTTAGCCAATACACAAGTGTGAAGATGTTTTCTTTGCCAGCTGTCCTGAGAACCAGATAAACATGCATTCCAGTGGTGGGTTGCCCCCGGTTCGGACTGGTTCGCAAGAACTGGCAGTAAAATCAGCGGGAGGCTCCGCCCACTGACCCGGACATCATCATAAGTAATCTGCACATGCGCAGAAGAGCGCATGTGCGTGCGCGCGAGCGAAGCGAGGGCGTGCGGGCAGGCACGATGTGAACCGGTAGTAAAGGTATGTAGAATCCACCCCGATGCATTCCCATTGCTATCCTCCGTTATCCTTTAAAGTGAAACAACCCACATGGCCGTCATAAACATTCCCCAAAGGTAAGGAGATCTCAAGGCACTCCGGCACCAGGATATAGGTTGTAAAATATCTGTTGACACAGTCAATGCTAATAAATCGAATCCAGCCCCCCCCACTTCTCCCAACTGAATGGCAGTGTCACTTATCATCAATTTATTTATTTATTTATTTATTTATTTATTTATTTATTTATTTATAATTTGATTTATATGCCGCCCTTCTCCGAAGACTCAGGGCGGCTTACAATGCGTTAAGCAATAGCCTTCATACTTTTGTATATTTATACAAAGTCAGCTTATTGCCCCCACAAACTGGGTCCTCAATTTACCTACCTTAGAAAGGATGGAAGGCTGAGTCAACCTTGAGCCTGGTGAGATTCAAACTTACAGTAACTGCAGACAGCTGGTGTTAATCACAACGCTCAGTCTGATGAGCCACCAGGCCCTTTATTTATTTATTTATTTATTTATTTATTTATTTATTTATTTAGTTAGTTAGTTAGTTAGTTAGTTAGTTAGTTAGTTAGTTAGTTAGTTAGTATTCATCATCATCATTTAGGAAACAGGTTCTCGGTTTCCACCCTTGCCTCTAGATGGTTGACCTTGGCTGGCAGAAGCTTCTCAGAAGGCTCAGCTGGGCTTCCATTCCTCCTTCCATTCCATTTTCTTCCTCCTTCCATTCCAATCTTTCCCTCCCGCCCTTCCCTCCGTTGCAAATGTCAGGCTGTCAACTCATGAAGCTTGGCTAGGAAAGATGCAGCCCTGACAACAACCATTTGACCAAGGTAGTCTAAGTATAGTATATTCTCCTGCCTCTTGAGCAGATGATTGGACGCTAGATTAGAAGACCTCCAAGATTCCTTCCAGCCCAAGCATTCTATGTTCTACAAAGCTCTCACTCGGTTGCAGCCACGAGGCAGCCACAGAGCTGCCAAAGAGACATTGTTTGACTCAACACAAACGCTATGATGCCTCCCCTCCCCCCCCGATTCTTTCGGCCTGGACAATGGTGTCCTTTCCCCTCCCCCCCACCCTCTGGCAGCTCCCAGAACAGATGAAGTACAAGCATTTTTTTTTTTTTAAAAGATCATTTGTTTAGGAGCTGAAAAGTACAGCAGAAACACAGCTCTTGATTGAGGTCAGATTTTCCCACAGGGGCGTAGCAGCTCTAGATGAGAGATTTTGTCCGCTGGAAAAAAGATCCGTTATCATTTCATTTTTTTTTTCCCAGAAAGGGGAAGAAAAAGGAAGAATTTTATTTTAGGGCGTTTGTTGCAGTTCCTCCCCCTAAAAGCCCATTTTTGTTAGGAACACCAGAAGAGGCAACACACAAAAAATAATTAGAGGTGTTTTGAAGAAATATTTGTCAACCTTGGCCACTTGAAAATGGGTGGACTTCAACACCCTCCATTTTCGAGGAGGAGGAGGCGGAGGAGGAGGAGAAGGAGAAGAAGGAGAAGAAGAAGGAGGAGGAGGGGAGGAGGAGGAGGAGGAGGAGGAGGAGGAGGAGGAGAAGGAGAAGAAGAAGAAGAAGAAGAAGAAGAAGGAGGAGGAGGAGGAGGAGGAGGAGGAGGAGGAGGAGGAGGAGGAGAGAGGAGGAGGAGGAGGAGGAGGAGAAGAGAGAAGAAGAAGAAGAAGAAGAAGAAGAAGAAGAAGAAGAAGAAGAAGAAGGAAGAAGAAGAAGAAGAAGAAGAAGAAGAAGAAGAAGAAGAAGAAAACAGTGGACTTCTTGATGCTCTCTGAGCTTGGTTGATTTTCTGCAGACATTTCTTGACACAACTAGGTAACATCATCAGAGTTAGAAGGGAGTGGGGACTGTGGAGTGGAAGAGAATGAGAAGGGGAAGAGGAGGAGGAGGAGGACAACAACTGTGGGGTCCTTGATGCTCTCGTTTTCCTGCAGAGCAGGGACCCCCCAAGTTACACAGATTCTCTTCTACTGGTTTGTGGTCTCTGAATTATTCACACGACTGTCACGATTTAGATGCTTAGGAAAGTCACCCAAAATCCCCTTCCATTTGCACTACTATTCTACAAACCAAGCCATGAAGTTATAGTTTATAGTCTGGGGGCTGATGCCCTGATCCCTAGATATCCCAGTTCCATGAAGCGGGATGGAAATTCTTCTCCACTGCTCTGGGGAAGAGCTCAAAATCAATGCCCAACGTGGGGGTGTTGGCTAGGAATCCAACTGGGACTTTTCCGTGGAAGAACAATGATCGGATGGAGGCCAAACAAGGAAAATAAAGAAAATAACTTATCCAGGTTGTTAACCCTTATTCTCTGGACTCCCAATCATGGTCTGTCTTGAGACCTTGGTGGAAAACAAGCCTGTGATATTAAACATGGCCTCTAGACCAGGGCTGTCCAACCTTGGCAACTTTTAAGACTTGTGGACTTCAACTCCCAGAATTCCCCAGCCAGCATAGACTTCTGGGAGTTGAATTCCACAAGTCTTAAAAGTTGTCAAGGTCGGACAGCTCTGATCTAGATTATATTCACCTTCAGCTCTGTGTTTATTAACAGGTCATGTCTTTGGTGTGTCTAGACAAGATGTGGGTCCTGACTACACAACTGAAACGCCAAGCCATTCTATGGATAGCAGCACATCACAAGGATACATGCACAACAGGACAGGGTTTTAATCCTGCGGTTGCAGTCATAATCTGGACTCTTTTTTTTTAATCCCTCCTTCCTTCCTCACAGGTACACCCCTGCCCCAAACTAATCTCTGAGTACCGTATTTTTCAGAGTATAAGACGCACCTTTTTCCCCCAAAAAAAGAGAGTGAAAATCTGGGTGCGTCTTATACTTTGAATGTAGCCCCGCCCAGCTTCTCAAACGGAGGTTTCAGAGGCTGAAAAAAGCATCAGAAACAAAACTGCAGAAAAGAAGTTTCAGAAAAAAAGCCCCCAAACAGAGCTCCAGAAAAGAAGCCCCCAGAGCTTCAGAAAAGAAGCCTCCAAACAGAGCTTCAGAAAAGAAGCCCCCAGAGCTCCAGAAAAGAAGCCTCCAAACAGAGCTCCAGAAAAGAAGCCCCCAA